TTTTTCTACTGCTGCAACAGTTTCCATATTGTTTTTCATGATAATTTATTTTGCTACTGCTTGTGTGAGTTATGCTATATGCATATTAATATAGTACTTCTTGTTTGGCTATTACCGAACACTTGGAGAAGAACATTTGGTTAACATCAATTATCTTGATTGATCATCTATGAAAATATTTAAAAGATATTTTGAATTAATAAAGCCAGAAATCTTTCATCGTGTACATTGGTAAATAGTACTGACCTGTCCTTCCACATAAGCGTTGTTGTATCTCATCAGTTTCAGACATAATATTTCACTTTCATTGACCTTTAATGAAGCTAGTTCCATATATCTGAGTAGCTTACCTTGGATTTGCTTTATGGAAGTTAAATGAAATTAACATTGACCAATGAGTTTGGAAATTGAGGGTTTTATCTGGTAAAAGAAATTAGAAAAGAGGACAAAATATGCCACCACTGAAAGACTGTGCAACTGTGGCAAAGGTGGGAAATTTTAGTTAACCAAGTAATTGTCTATGAAGACAAAATAAAAACAAAACAAAATTCATAAAATATAAACAGTTTCAGCTGAATAACTACAGAAAGAAAATATGGAAGCGCCCTTCTCAATAGAGTTTCCAGTGATCATGGTCTTATAAATCTAAAGTGCCAGCAACTTCTATAATTTTGAACCCTTATAATTTCCATAGGTTGATTAAGTAATTATTTTAATTCATGCCCAAAGAATTAATTTGTTGCTATCTTCCATGTTTATCTAAGTGATTTTTATACGACTTCAAAGCTCTTCATAATCAAAAGAATGTTGGTAATCACACAATATATCTAAACTTTTCAATTTGTGAAGTCTTAGATAAACAAAGATGGTACCATAGTTACTCTTACTTAGCATAGCCCATTCCTTTATTTGAAAATGATAGTTCAGCTGTTAATCTTGATGAACAAGCTCTCTTTCCCTATTAATAAAATCAGAATTTCTGTGACAGAGGACACACCTTTTCCTCTTCAACGTTTTCCCCTTTCTCTTCTAATTTTAAAGGAAGCTTACACACCTTGCAATATGCATTTCATGATCAGTTCAGAGAGTATTACTATGTGTACTCTGCTTCACTTATCTTCTATTCTTATTTTATGATTCTTCTGTAGTGTCTTCTCTTGGTTTATTAGCCAATCATATAAATAAACAGCCATAGTCTAGAGTTAAAGTAATATCTTCTAATAATTTAGGTCCAATAATATTCGAAAAATAAAGCTGAACTAAAGTTGGATGCTATTTTTGAACCAGTATCCTAACATCGATGCAATAGTGTTACAGCAAAAGACTCTTTGCTTTAAGTGACTTTGACTTGCATCTCAATGCAAAGAGTCATTTATTGTATCATCATGCAGATTTGGTATTTTCCTAGGAGTGTTACATTCCCTTGTTAGTACTGTATGGTGGTGTCCATTCCTTTCCCTCTTTTTGTCTGATTTTAACTTTCTTTCTAGTTGGAAGATATTCATGCAAGCTTGTATCTTGTCAAATGCGACGTGGATTTGAATAGATCCAACCACCAACAAGGAGAAAAGCAAACAAAAATGACGAAGTTCTGCAATGGGATATGTTTATTCTTCGTGTTAATGTGTGTCATATGGGCTCCCATGCTGGTAAGAATGAAAAACTTCAGTTATGAATCTTATTTTATCTAATTCTGAAACCATTTTCCACAACTTATTAAATAATCAATAAAATCAAATGTGAATGACTTCAGTTTGAAAAACTGGATAAAGCTAATATATTTTTTTGCATGTATACAAGAAAGATAAGTACATTTCCAATTTATAGAATCAAATTTCTTTCATAACTTACTTTCAAAGAACTAAAGGAAATAATTTGATTTCTTTCATTGCTTTTGCATAAACAGTATTTATTCTTTTTTTGGGATGAATAGAAATATAAATAATTAGCAGCACAGCTTCTCTTTCCTGAATTGTTGTCTTGGCCTATGTGCCTGCTATTTATGCTTAGCTTATTGAAATTCTCAAGTTGGACTGATTGCTCCACTTTTATTGTTATGTTTGTTAAAGTTAAACTACGCATATATTTCACAAATGTATTCAAGTGCCTAAGAAAGTTGGCCAAGAGAATCCTTCAGAAAGTTCTTGTGATCTGTAGCTAGACTAACTCAGTCTTGAAAATCGCGTCTTTGTAGGTAAAAATAAAATTGTGGAAACCAACATTATGGCCAATCTCTTTGATGCCTCCAAATAGTTCATTTCATATAACTATTACCTCACCTAATGTTTATTTTCTGAGAGAGATGCCACACCTCAATGGTTTAACCCATATAATATTGTTTTAAACTCAACTTTCACTATGAAATTGTACATAGATCAAATATACCTTACTTTATCTGTTTTTCTGTCATTTTTCAGATAAAGCTCAAGGCTGTTGAGTGCTACTTTTACATTTTTAAGATCAACTTATGAGTCTAGATTATTAGATTGGCAGATTTCTTTTCCATATTGTTTGTTTGTAGTAACTATGACTTTGCTTGATTTCTTGTAAATTGCATTTTATGGACAGATGTACAGCAGCGGTAACCCAACAAACATCGCGAATCCAATCAAAGATGCCAGTGCTCGGCTTGATATAAATACAGTAAGTGGAAGGTTGACATTGTTTGAGACAACTTTGTGTGAGAAGATACCTTGGGAAAAGCTCGTAGCACGCACAAGTCTAGATCCTCAGGGTTATCTCAATGCATACAATGAGAAAGACATTCAATTAATTTGCTGCCAACCGGATGCAAGTACATTGTGGCTTGTGCCACCAGTTGTACAAGCCAGATTTATAAAGTCCCTTAGGTGGGACATGGATATTACTTTCTCCTGGCAATTTACCAGAGATAGGCCTAAAGGAAAGGAATTAGTGAAATATGAATTAACCATAGAGGACCAGGATCTTCCAGAATCTTCAGAAGTGACTGAAGTTTTCAATGGCACTTCCAATAGTTTCACAGTATTCAATGTATACCCTAGATATTTTCGGGTCACAGGCTCTGGTGATGTACGGTCTCTTGAACAGTCGGTATGTATGTTGCATCTAATTTAAGTTTAAAAATACATACCTAATCTAATGACCAAGAAAGTGTGCATAATCTAATCTAATCCAATAGTGTACTCATTCTTTGTGGGAAAAGGGTAGCGATGGCTCTGATCATAAAGGGGATAAGGTTTTTGCAGGTGGAGCTGGTTAATGGGGATCTTGTTCTCAACCGTGGCAATCGAGAGTGGTGGTCTTTTTATGATACTGATATCTCGGATGCACATGGATGTGGAGAGTTCCCAGGACCAATGGCTATAATCGTATCTGAAGAAACTCCTCGTAAAAACTTTCTTGTTGTTACCTATTTAGTCCTCAGAATATGTTTAACCTCAAATTTGATCAGTGTGTACCTTCACTAATATATACCTTTTTATCTTATCTCCTTGTTGCTTTAGAGGGCATTATTGGTGAAACTCTCAGCAAGTTCAGCATCTGGGGACTGTATATTACCTTTGTGCTTGCTGTTGGACGCTTTATCAGATTACAATGTTCCGACTTGCGAATGAGAATTCCTTATGAGAATCTTCCTTCTTGTGACAGGTGCTCCGATATCATCAACAATCGATGAATAATCATTTTCCATGCGCATGATGATGGCTTAAACAAAGTGGATACAATTGGTTTTGGTAAGTGTCTAAACTCTATATTCATTGATGCAGATTGATGGCAATATGTGAAGATATATATGCTGCAAGAGCAGAAGGTGAGCTTGAAGTGGAAGAGGTTCTGTTTTGGACACTTGTTAAGATTTACCGATCTCCGCATATGCTGTTAGAGTATACTCAACCTGATTAAGATCTTGCAACATTTGGAAAATATTCAATCTCCTCTTGCTGTTTCATCTTTTGCATAGTTAGAATGTTTTCCATTGATGACCAAATGTAAAGGTTGTTCAACTATATCAATCTCAACTTCTATCTTTTACTGGTTTTGATTCTGAGACTTTGTATGTTATTCCAAGAAAAAGAATTTTATTTCTTTAACATCAAAATTGGGTTAAGCCCTATATTCTCTCACTAATTTTTACACTATTTCTTAAATATGGTGAATTATGTATAAATTTATGGCTAATCTCTTATATTGAATAGTTAGCAAATTATTTAATGAACCATCTAATATGTTTCATAAATAGAGAATCTATATAATAATAACCACCTAAAAATGAATGAAAAAAGTAGTTTAGGATATATTTTTCTACTAAGTATCATTTTGATGAATTATTTTAGATTTTTTGTGTGGAAGAAGGGTATGAGTATGGTTAAAACATACATCCAAAGGTTTGAATCCAAATTGTAACATTTTATGTCTTGCAACTTAATGAAATAAATGACTAAGAAACTAATTTAGATTTTGTTTAATTAAGAGAATGGAAGAATTAATTAAAATAAATATTAGCCTCTCTTTATTTGTTTTATCAATCCAGTGGCACATGTTGATATAAGGCATGTTCTCACATGTAGGAACTTACCTTAGAGCTTGCGTAGGTAATTGCTCTCACTAATTTGTTATTTGTACTAATGTATTTATATTTATGTTTTGTTTTTGCCTCCATTATTTAACTATTTATATTTTTGTCACTTATTACAAAAATTTAACCTCATTCCATTCATGTCCTATGTCCTAGTTAATTAAGTTGCTCAAGGAAATTGTCAATTATTCATGTCCCACATTTTACTCAATTAAGATGCTCACCATAAATATGTAATTAACATTGTTATATTTCACAAAATTTAAAATAAATAATTAGTTAATAGATTGGAAAATTGTGTTGACTCTAACGTTAACTTGTGTGAGAAAGTTGATATAATAAGTTTATCACGTTCCATCCAACATCTGATGCAAAAAGTCAAAACAAATTTACGACAGGTTTATTTAATAAGTAGATTTCTGTGTCATCAATGAGTGTCATTATTAGTCGATATGTCCGAGTGGTTAAGGAGACAGACTTGAAATCTGTTGGGCTTCGCCCGCGCAGGTTCGAACCCTGCTGTCGACGTTTTCATAAATTACAAATTTTATTTAATAATTAGTTAATAAGAAAAGTAGACAATGTTTTGGTTCTTAGCCATGAAGATACAATGTTAGAATCAGATTTGATGGTATTGGTGGTGATGGTTCACCATTTCATAAGACACCTCCTTAACCATTCATTGCCCTCATACTAATTAACCCTCACTTTAATCATGTATTCATTCTTGTCTTAAGCCATATATATGCATACACCAATTATAATGGATGACGTGTTAAGTGGCCAAATTTTCATTTTTTGTTTTGCTTCACCCCATATATAATATATTCCAGGTTAGATAATGTACACTTAATATAGCAAGATGATTTATCAACTCACCCGATATGGTCTGATCATGATCATGCCCGAATAGGGCTGAGATCAGGTTCAAAAATTAGACTCGATCCATATGTAGGGTTGGGTAGTGGACAAACATGATTCGACCTGTCCCGTCTCATGGTTACTCAATTATCATATTTGAATGTATATCTATTCAGAGTAATGACACAATTTTGGTCAAAACTTGATTATCTATTTTTCCCATCATATATACATGATTAACAATATATATACATATCATTTTATATGTCAAAGTACATATTTATAATAATAAGTAATATTGAGAAGACTTTATTTAAAATGAGTATGTATTATATTTAATCTGGTTTAGGACTGGATTCAAGTTCAATGACTGACCCGATCAACATCTAGGGTTAGGTTAACTTTTGGTCTATGGTCAGGTTCGAGTTCAAAAAAGTGACCCGACCAACATTTAGGGTCGGATAAGGGACGAGTCTTACCCGACCCATGCTCAACCCTAAGGATGGCAATGAGTCTGGATGGGTTCGGGTAGTGCATTACCCTGACCTGCCTCGTTGCTTCATTTTTGGACCCAGATTCGTCTCAAACTCGCGCTAATACCCATTGGGTATACTACTCACGGGTCCTTGGGTACCCAACGGATCCATGGGTACCCATAAATTCAAAAATATTAAAAATTATTGCAAGCAATTTATGCGCTTGTGTATTTGTTTCCTACGATCTTATATGTTATTTAGACAATCAACAAGAGAAAAAATTACAAAACTTAATTTAAAATTTTAAATACAAAACTTTTGAAATAGAGGATAAGATAATAATATTATATGGATGATGAGTATTCCCTAAAATTAAAAAATCAATAGTTATCCATACAATTATACTTTCACAATCAATGTTGTGATAAAAGGAAAAATAATAGTTTTCATCTTAATATAATATTGAACTGGCATTTTCCATTTTTTATTTTATTAATGCAATTATATTACTTTATGGTTTTTAAAATATATTTTTAATATAATAAATCTATTACTATATAAGAAAAAAATGTTCTTCATGATACATGTCACTATCTCCATAAAACTTTTCCCTCCAAAACATGTTCATTACTTATGGTGAGGTCTCACACATTATAACAATATATCACTATTATTGCACATTTTCCATGCAACAAATCATGTGTTTATTATTTTATGTTTATGCAATCCCTCTCCGTGCGTTTCATATTTTTTCGTTCATCTACGCAAAAAGTAAACTACCACTTCAAAAAAGTTGGAATTTTTTTTATCATTGGAATTGAAAATAAGAAACAATAAATGTAGTTGATATTCATGTTTTCCGTTTTAAATTACTATTACGATTAGGGTTTGAAAGTTAAAATTGAGGTTGCAGCGGGCATCAACACCCTATTGCTATTATCAGTCATATAATTCTTAATTTTAAGAACATGAATAGTTTCTATCTACTTCAAATTTTTTAATCTTCAAAATAAATGATTCATTAATATCATTAGAACAAAAAATGTAGACCAATGAAATGAATTTGAGAAGAGAAATCACAAATGCAATTTAAATGTGAATAAATGGACAATAACTCAATTCAAATGCAATTTAAATTTGTAAGTGATGATTAATGCATCATCTAAGATTTGAAACAAATAAAAAATAATTGAGATCATTTTGTGTATTTTTTCTTACTTAAATGTGTAAATATGATCCTCTACATTTTTCTCTCTACAAATTAATATCTCCTCCATTAACCATTATATCATCTAATTTGGGTAGTTGATTCATCAATAACTCAATAAGATCAAACAAATTTATTTCTCCAACATTCCCACGTTTACTAATTATATTCAAGTATAGACATCTAAGTGATTCCAAACAGCTCTTCTTGGACACGTGTTAATAGTTGGATGAATTTTTCTCCAACCAAACAGCTCCACAGTCATACAATGTACTGCTTCATATATATATATATATATTCTATCATTTTCTCATCAAATATTTCATTTAAACTTTGATGGAAAAGAATTTGTTTCACCAAAAATCATAATTTATTATACATTATTATTATTAAATACACATTATTGATTCTCAACTTGAATCATTTTTCTCATTGTTTATTTATTTCTCTCATTTTCATTATGTGTTTGAATATGCTAATACACGGGTAACACTTGTGTTCTTAACAATGTGAATGTACGAGTAACATGTATCTTTTAACAAAGCGAATGCACAAGTAACATGTGTGCTTTTAGCAATGATAATATACGGATAACATGTGCGCTTTAAACCATGTGAATGCATGGTTCACACATTCATATGTGTGTTCTTAACAATACAAATACACAAGGAACATGTATTTTTTTAACTATGCGAATGTACGTGTAACATATATATTTTTAACTATATGAATGCTCATATAATATTTGTGTTCTTAATTATATGACAAAAAAATATTATCTCGTGCATATGCACGGATAACTTGCTAGTTAGATATACATGTTTATATATGTAAACTTTACAAATAGACATAATTAAGATGATAATATTATATCAATAATGAACATTATCTAAAATTAAGGAATAAATAATATAATAACCCATACAATCCTACTTTCACAAATCAATCAATGTTGTGATAAAAATAATAGTAACAACTTTCATTTCAATATAAACAGAATAATAATGTATCTCCTCTTATAAGGAGATAAATTATCTCATCCGACTAATAAAAATGTGACATGTGTACCATTTAATCATTTTTTACAAATAACATGTCATACTTTTCCATTTTGTTATTATTGCAACTATAATATTCCATGGTTTTGAAAATATCTTTCTTTGATATGATTAATTAGATATACATGTTTATATATTTAAAATTTGAAAATAGAGCATAAGATGATAATATAGTATCTATGATGAACATTCCCTAAAATTAAAGAATCAAACATTCATACTTTCACAAATCAATGTTGTGATAAAATAAATAATAACAGTTTTCATTTCTAATATAATATGATAGTAACAATTTTAAAGGAATAATTTGTAACAGATTTATTCCTATAAAAGGAATAGTAATCGGTTTAATAAGAATTATTATTTTATTGTCATAAAAATGTTGATCTTAAAATTTATTTTAAACATGCACATTTATGATTATTAATTCATGATATTCAAAGAATAATGTCCTTTTTTCATTGCTATATACATGTCTATCATTTTATGAATTTTGTTTTATTTCTATTTGATTCTATATAATTATAGTGGTTAGAAGAATAAAATGATTTGAGTTAAATAGAATTAAATAAATCATTCAATATAAGTTAGGAATATAATGATCTTCATATTTTGGAATAAAACAATTAGGAATAAATCATTTAATTTGAATTATAACATTATAAGAATGTGCATCTATTATTCTTATTATGGTAATATGGGCTTAGCCCGATGGAATAACCCATTTTGATCGACATTTTTAGTGGGGCGGACTGAAAATTTTAGCCCAAAAACCCATATTCAACCCGGTTTGGAAGCCTGTTTTTTAGACGGGTCACGACGGGCTGGGACGGGCTAGCCCGATGAGCCAACATTAATATTGTTTTACCGTTTTAAGGTTACATGTGATTCCAATAATATAGTCAATTTAATATTGTTTTCCAACCGAACATTTTACACTTACTGTGTGCAACCAATTTATCATTCATATACAAGACATTTATGGGTAAATTACTTATCAATGTAATTTATATCATATATAATACAAGACATTTACATATCATTGTTTAATTTATATCATATATCATATTTTGTTTAGCTTAATTACATTTATCACTTTTTTTGTTTAAAAAATTACACTTCTCATGCAGGGTTGACCAATGTAATGTATGTTTATAAATTAAGAAGTTTTTTTGTAAGTATAGAAAATGGAAGGATAATTTGTATAATTTCACTAAAACTCATAGAATATGAGTGTAATTTACTCTTTATATTATTAATAAACTTTTGGAAAAGTTCCACATGTTATGTTAAATTGGTTAGTAATATTAATACTAAATTGGTTATACTATTATGTAATATTGCAATTGATAAGTAATTTATGATTAATTTATATCATATACAAGACATTTATATTATATACAAGTCATATACTTATCGATATAATTTATTCTTTAAATTGGTTAGTACTCATATACATGCATTCTCAAAAGAATATTTTTTTTCATAGAAAAGTGGAGGCATACCCTTCCAACAGAGTATATAATGTTTAGAACTTACGAGTTTGAAACTTTATTGTGAACTAGGACTTTAAAAGTTTAAGACTATGTTGGCTAGTTGTTTAGAACTTACAAATTTTAAACCAAAACGATATATTATTGTGAAATTGTGAACTTTAGTTTTTTTATTTTTTGTTTTAAAAGACATTTATGAGGCGTTATGATTATTTATTTTTGAAATTGTGATTGAGTTGGTTATAAATGTGTTTTTGAAAAGAAAAAAAACGAGTCAAACTGTCGGCCTACCAAATATGAGTCGGACTGACATATTGAGTCATTTTATCAATAAGGGACGGGACAGCCCATATTTTTGTGGGCCAAAAGCGAACCATGTCGGGCTGGCCCATTTTACCACCCCTAATTCTTATGGAGATCATATTTAAGAATAGAATAATCTAAGTTATAATTTAATACATCATTCTATTTCAAGACACTACTGCATAGTGAGCTGAGCCATTGTGTTGTCATATCTTTCGCTGGAGAACTAGCATCAC